ATCTTTACTTGCTGTCACAGTCAGTGGTCATAGGTGCATTACTTAGCATTATTCTTGTCTAGATCATCTACCCCTGCATTTCCTATTTGCCTTGTTAGTACAGCAGAAGAGAAAGACCCAACATCAATGGCCACATTTTGTCTGAAGATTCCACTATGTCACCTGGCTGGTCAGGTAACATAGTGTAGCGTTCAAAGTCATGCAGCATACATCCATATAGCCTCCTATACATTGTGATTTGTGTGTGAAAAAGGCACAGAAAGGCAAAAAAAACCTTGAACGCACACAAGGTCAACATCACATCATGTTGTCGATCCTTTAAACTCAAGCACTTTTTCCACTTGCCTGTCTATAACTGGCAACTGTTTATTTTTTATATCTACTGTCTATCTACTTTCACTTTATCATATTAGTATTGTTCTTGATTTTTTGTTCAAATTTCTTTAGCATTCTGTCAGTGGAGCTGAATGAACTTAACGTACTGGATGCAAAGACCCAACTTTTAAAATTAGCATCAGCCACATGCGTGACAGTTTTCGCACATAGTTGATATATAAGTTGTCACACATCAAAGAAGGGAGAATATATCCATCAAACCTGGCTGTTAAATATCAAAAAAGAAGGAAAGAAAAAGGTCAAGCAGCACAGGCTCAAAGTATATTTATTCAGTCATCTGGTGCTTCCCACTGACAGAGGAGAAAAGTTAAAGTGTGGCTGTACTGCAGAGTATTTGCCAGCCTCAAAGGAAAGAAAGGTATTGTGATAAAATCTTTAAAGCTGAGCTACTATTCACTAACACTGTAGGAAACATCACATGGGGGCTGCAGCATAAACCAGATATATACAAATATAAAACCATAACACTTAAAATACATGCAGAGGCTGTTTGACATTAGAATGGTGTGTTTATAAAAGCAGGGATCAGGGTAACTATGAGAAAATGATAAGTGGGGAAAAATTGTTTTGCTTTTGCAATTTTAGAAAAATCTCTGTAAAAACAAGGTGTGTGTGATTTGCTAAAACTTTAGTTTGCATCTTTTCAGTTGATTAGTATTTAATTTTAACATTTTTAGCCCTTTTCAAAAAATTTTAACATATATTTATATGTATTTATCTACTTTTTAATGGAAATTATTGGCTGTCGTTTAATAACAATGAATACAAATATATCAGAAGTTTATTTTTCCTAAATGCACAAATGAACTGCAGAAATGATTTTAAACATGGTGCTCCGTGGGGTATTAGTTCTCAAGAGTCTGGAAATTTGAATGGTGAAACTTCACCAGGGTGGTCAGAAATAGGTCAAACCTTGGAGAGGATAATTATCTGGCTGGACTAGACCAGTTTTATTTTGGTTTTTGGAGTCCCTCTCTTACTGCCTGCAGCATGACATCATCTGGTTCGATGCACTGCAGGACAGTTACATGCAAACGTCCCTGTGACATTGCAGATCAATCTGAAAGGAGATGAGAAGAACTCATTGACCTCTATATTTACCTCAAGAGAAGCAGAAAACACACCTGTGCAGTGATGATTACTGCAGGATATTGTTTTAGTTTTCCATCTTGTTCTTTACATTTGCTTACGTCTTTATCACTTGAGTAAGGCCCTCAAAAGTTTAGTTTCATCAAATGTTTTGTTTTGCAAAAAGATTCCTTCTTTCAATCTAACTATAGAAATCTGAGGCATGATTCAATCAGGTCTTGAGCTGTCTGAAATGTAATCTGAAACCATTTAATCTGGATGGGGGTTTTTTTGCCTCCTGACAGAGTTTGTAGTTTGGCAGCAATCCTTGAAGAACAATCAGCCAAACCGGAGGCATGCTTGGAAAATTGCTTTTTAGAGAGGCTTGTTTGCCAAGTCAGAGTGCACTGGGGACAAACTTTGTCCTTCAAGGGGAGATTTATTTTACTCCAGTATAATCACAATCAGTCAGCAGGATTCAGTTTTACAAACATCAGCACCAGCTCTCATCAACACTTGCATTAATTACCTTGAATTGTATGTGTAGACAGTGAAAATATATGCATATGATTTGCATTTATATCTATTTTTTTAGTTAGTATTATTAAATACATTTTTTAAACTGTTAATTACATGAATATATTCTGTTGCATGTAATAACAGAAAAACTGGGAGAAAGAAATTAAATTTGACCCAGAAACAGAACTCTTTTAGCAACTTTTCCAGTAGATAAATAATGTAGATTGCATCACAATGATGTCGGTTTAATGAGGAAGACATACCACACGTGGAAATAAGGGGAATTTGACCAAATGCTGTCAAAGAAGTGTCTTTTAAGGTTCAGGGAGACGGGATCCCATTTTTTGAGAAGTATACAGAAGATCTTTCTTCCTTTCTTTCTTTCTTTCTTTTTTGTCGGATCATCTAAGTGAGTTCAGTGAATTCATTGTACTGAAATGGCCTCAACGGTCCCAAATCCAACAGGTAGACGTGGAGATTCACAATATGGAGCTGCAGCCGACATACCGGCAGGAACTGTGTGATGCTCATCTCAGAAGGAACCAAAATCTCTGAAGGATGTTTCTAGCACCTCCTAGGGTAGCTGTTGCTCAGGAGTAGAGCAGGTTGCCTGATGTGCAGATGTTTATAGAGGTGTTCCTTTTTTGTTTTCTTCTTTTTTTCCCTGTCCCGTTTGGATCTTTAGCCATCAGAATTGTTGTCTGGAGGCCAAAAAAGATGCCTAGCAGGTTTACTTTACCAAGTGGATCATCATGGCCTTGCCTGGCTGGTCTTGGTTTTAGGACTGTGGTTTAATTGTTTTCCTCCATTTATTATGTTATTTTGGGTTAATATGTATATCTACGAAAACATATGTCAGATACAAAGAAAGTGAAAGGAAAGGAAGTGTTAAGAAGAAAGTAGCACATCATCCTGTACAGTGGGGGCGCTATCCATTTGAATTTACCGTTTGTAGTCTGCCGTTAAAAACAGAAAGAAGAAGAATAACATCTCATTGGTTGACCTGCAGTGACGTCAAAGCAACGTACCCCTCCCCGCCGGTGTAGAGCAACGGTCAGTAGCGTCAACATGGCGTCGTTGGATGTCATTGTGGATAAGTTGGTGGTACTGTGGAGGATACCAGCCGTCCGACAGAAGTTCCCCTGGAGTTTTTTGCTCATCTCGGTCGTGGGGTCCGTCCTGAAAGAGCTGGAGTCCGTTCCGCAGACGTATTTCAGCAGCAGCAAAAACGCCCTGAACGTGTAAGTATGACGACGCGATTGATTAGCTAACACAACCGATTCATTCAAGCTCGTGGGCACACCTGGCGTTCACTTTAAGGTGACTTAAAAGCACCTTTATAATTTTCTTTTTTAATGTTTTAATGAATTTGGCAAGACTGGAGAGATGTAGGTCAAGGGTGAACTGTTCAACTGTCGGGCTAATGAAGTCCTATTTGTTGAACACAACTCAAAACAAACAAAAACTGCTTGGCTTACCTGGATTTTGTAGGAGCAGAAACTGGCAATTGTTATTATTTATGTCCTACTATTTATATTTTTGTTCTATGCACAGCTAGTGTGGAGCATCCACAATTTCGTTGTACATGTACAATGACAATAAAAAGCTATTATATTCTATTGTAAAAAGAAAACTGTAGATATGTACCAGTATATGTGCTGGTGTTTCAGATGGTTAGAAACAGAGGTAAAAACCTGAAAATCCAGAATGTTTATGCATAAACATTCTGAAGTATGCAGAATGTTTATGCATAAACATTCTGCATACTCCAGGTTTTTACCTCTGTTTCTAACCATCTGTAACACCAGCACATATACTGGTACATATCTACAGTTTTCTTTTATGCATAAACATTCTGTATTGGCCCAGGAGTATGAAGTATACAGTATACGTTCTGTGTACATATGAGATTAACATTAACTTTATCTTGAAGTGGTAAATTGTTTCATCAGACTGCTCTGTTTGTCTTGCAGGTATTTTGTTAAAGTGTCCTGGGGCTGGACGCTGCTGCTGCTAACCCCCTTCCTCCTCCTCTCCAATGCCTCCTTCAACAGGAGCGTCTCCTTTCTCGCCCGGCGGCTGCTTTCTCTGGTGGTGGCAACGGCTGTCTGGTACGTCTGCACAGAGACCTTCTTCTACATCGAGGATGTGACCGGTTCTTGTTACGAAAACAGCTTGGTAAAGGTTGATTACAAGGAGTTCACATCGAAAGCTGTCTGCAGGCGGGCTGGATTCCACTGGGTTGGCTATGACATCTCAGGACACTCCTTTATTTTGGCGTACTCCACCCTCTTCATCATGGAGGAAATTGCCCCGATGAGCTCTCTCAATACCACCAGCTTGTCTGGACTTCCCAGGAAGGTCTTGAGCCTGCTGTATATAGCCTTGAATCTTATCATGATCATTTGGGTGTGGATGTTCACGTGCACCTCTGTTTATTTCCATGACCCATCTCATAAGTTGTTAGGAACCATATGTGCCCTGCTGGGGTGGTATTTAACATATCGGGTTTGGTATGTAAAACCAATGTCACCAGGACTCCCCCCTCAGCGCCACCCAAAAGAACAGAAGCCGCATGCCTAAGCTGAACACACAAGTAAAATCATCCTCGAAATAACACACTACATTTGACGCTATCTGCATCCAGGTCCAAGCCAGCAACTCTACTTGAAGCTATTTTAAGTAATTCCCCTCTTCACAGGCTGGCCACCTTGTACACAATGACTTACTTGCAATTCTTCATCTGTTTGGCAGCTGCTGATTCCAAAATGACTTGTAATCTGAGATAAAAGCACAGAGCTGCTCTGCTGCCCAGCTTCAGTCCTCTCACCTTCAGCCTCAAGGTTCGCTATTATTTGCCTGACTTGTACTGCGTTAATCCTAACTGAGTATTTGCAGTTTTTAGATATGTATGGGAACAGTTGAGAATGTTTACAGCTCCAGTTGTATAGTACTGATGATGTGTGTTTTTTTTTGCAAACCAATGTACAGTAAATGTTCATTGTTATTTATTTAGAAAGCTTTGAACAAGTCATTGTAATCCAGTGAAGCTGCATTTCATCCTGCGTGTAATATTTTAAATCAGTTTTTTTTGATTGTGAATGGTTTGGGGTCAAAGTAACTGTGTGTCAACATTATGTGTAGTTTAAGTTTGTTCAGCGATGTAGAATGTGGTTAGGAATAAGAATTTTAATATATTTAATTAAGAAATATCATTAAGGTTGGAAATATTCAGTATTGAGCTTTAACTAACATTTATTTTCATCATTAATTGATATAAAGAGGTTTTTTTCCTGTTAATTATTTCATGAAAAAAATGCCTAAACTGTTTAAAGGAAACTATTTTTATGTTTTTAAACTAAGATATAGTTTAAAAACATGGGGAAAAGCAGCTTTATGCTTATGTTGCCATCAGCTTTTGAAACACTATCTATTTTTAATTTAACTGGTCTTTAAAAGACAAATCAGACCAAGATTAATATTCCTCTGTGCCATAATTTTCTGTTTCTGAACAGAAGCTATCAAAAATGCTGAACAGTGTAGTTTACTAGGATTCAGCTTCAGATTTTCCTTTTCCATAAAGTTTATAGTTAGAGTTGGGTGACCCTGAATCATCCCTTATGCTGCTAGACGACTTCCCATAATGCACTGAGTACTCTCCACTTTACACGTATTTATTGGTCACTGCTGCATGTCATTAACTTCTGTAGTTTGTGTTTGGACCTGCTTGCTGGTCGTGATCTCTCTGTATTCTCCCTGTCTTGCCCTACTTAACCCTCAAACCCCAACTGGCCTAGGTTAGCCCTCTCTTCCTTTTTAAAAGGGAGTTCTTCCTCCTCGTTGTCACTAAGTGCTTGTAGGGGATCATCTGATGGTCCTTAGCTCACGCTATGAAGCACCTTGATCTGTGTTATTTGGCCTTATATGAATAAATCAGAATTCCCACTTATACAATCTTGCTTCCTTAAACACTCACCAGTACATCTCTGGTAAAAACCACAGCATAAATTTCACTTTAAAAGCTGAACTTTTATATTTTTGATTTATACAGGAAGTAGGAGCCTGACTTTTTTGAGCTATGAGGAAAAATATAGAATGACACCAGTCATATTTTGTTACAGTTCTGCTTACAAATATGTAAATCACAGAAGAATGTTTCAGTTTTCTACTGTTGGGATTTATGTATCAAATATAAAAAATCGACTTTCTCCTCCGTGCAGGAAGCTCTGAGTTTTTATCCAAATAAACCAACAAAAAAAAGTTCCATTAATTATTTTCATTATTTATTGGTCATTGATGGCAACTGAATAAATTAAGGCTTATGAACAAACATCATAAAAAGCACCATAAATAAATGCATATATAGAAATATAAAAAATAAAAAGTAAAAAATAAAAAAATACTATAGTGAAATATAATGGCCACAAATCACAACTGGGATTCTTTCGACTTGAAATCTTTGTTGGATCCAAGAAGTACAGATCCGACCCCTCGGGTAGATTCAGTCAGAGGAAGCAGCGGAATCGTAACAGCTGTGCTTGCAATAATCAAAATGTACCAAGCGTTTACAGTGATTGGCTGGTTATGACGTTTCTTGGCATTTTCGCCCACAGTGTCAATTATTGAACCGTTTTAGCATGAAAATCTCAACATGAATGAGAACACAGTTAAACTAATTATTTGATTTATTTGTAACTGGACACATATCTCCTCTTTTGCTTGCTTTCAAACTTTAGAAATCTCATTTACCTCCCTTCTGAACATCTTGAAATCAAGTACTTTAATGTGTATCTCAAATGTCTTCTTTTCAGACAAAAAGGATTTATTGATCTCACTGGCCGCCCTGCACTCTCCATATCAAAAATTAAACTGGGTACACTTTGGTTTTCTTAATAAAAAACTGATTCTGCTACAAGACATGAAACAGCAACAAACTTCTATTAAAGGAGTACTGATCATTGTCTTTGGTTCAGCCTTTTCTGTTGCAGTTAGATGTTAATCACCACCTGCAGAGGTGAGTTTGTGTGACAGTAGAAAACTCTCCATGACCTCTGTTATTTATTAATATCTTGAGCAGCAGTTATAATGAGAGAAAGAGTCGCTGCACTGTGAGTTCTTACTGCAAGAATGTCGGTAATAACCAGCCAAGAAAAAGCAAAAGCAGCTTACAACTCCAGCCAGCACCTCACAACAATGAGTTAAACCCAAAGAGCGCACATGATAACATGGTTTTTTAAAAAAAAAGCACGGACATCTGGTAAAGAAACACAAAGTGGTTCCCGTCAAGGGTTAACTTAATGTGGAGTAAGAAAAATAAACTGCATTAAGAAACAACGAGACAGCTGGGAAGGCTCTCTGTTTCTCACCATCGTGCTCCTTAAGCCTTCAGATGAGTCAGCTTTTTCCTTCCCTCGTTCCCGTTGTTTAACCTTTAAGCTCATTAAAAATTAAGCATGGTAAAATAAATGCGACCGTGTGTAATTAAAAATATCTATCTGTTAAAAACAATCTTGCATCTGTCAGGAGGAAGTCAGCAGAGACAAACAAACAGCAGTGAATTCCAGTGCGTTTTTTTCTTGCTCAGTATTGCTGAGGGACCGTCTCAGACGCGGTGCAGTGCAGGTGATTCAAAGGTTACAGTTACCAACTGAATATTTAGAAATCTGTGGCTTAGTCACGTCATAAATTCTGCCTCTGGGCCACAAAAAAACCCCTCAGTGTACACAATACGAAAGTAACCCATGCAATGAAACATACATCCTAACCCTAAGTCATCACTATTGTGCCATAGATGCAGAATTTATTATTTTGCTATCAGTAGAGCCAAGTGTAACTTTTCAAACACCCAGATTTTCCTCTGCTTTGCGACAAGATAGTGACAGTGGACCACTGTGTGCTGTGTGATCTGTGGTGCTCTAAATAAACTGACTCTGGACACACGTGTGCATGTCTCTGTGTGTTATTACATATTGGGTGTACAATAAGTTAAAGGAGCACTTTTATAGTTTGGGAGATTTTTCCACTTTATTTCTGAGGGTTAGATGAGAAGATGGGCACTGCTTTTATTGTGTGCATGATCATGAAGCTACAGCTGCTTAGCTCAGCATTAAGACTGGAAACATTTGCATGAAATGACGGTCTTTTCAAAGACCCACACACTGTTTTGCACCTTTAGTTTCCCTAACATGCTTCCATCAGGAGCAAGGTTTAGTCCCCTAAAAGAAACACAAATAGACAAAAGCAGATTTCTTCTTCTGCTCTTTTTTTAAACTTTCTTTTTTAACCTTTCCCCTTCGTGATTCGTTGTGACACTGGAAGATATTCATATCTTGTAATGTGACACACTTTATGTATGTTTGATACTCTACTTTTGGGGCAATCGTTTAGCGTCGTCTTGTAATCGGAAGGTTGCCGGTTCGAGCCCCGGTTTTGACAGTCTCAGTCATTGTGTCCTTGGGCAAGACACTTCACCCGTTGCCTACTGGTGGTGGTCAGAGGGCCCGTTGGCAGCCTCGCCTCTGTCAGTGCGCCCCAGGGTGGCTGTGGCTACACTGTAGCTTGCCGTCACCTGTGTGTGAATGGGTGGATGATTGTGTGTAGTGTAAAGCGTTTTGGGGTCCTTAGGACCAAGTAAAGCGCTTTACAAATATACATTTACTTGAAAAATAGGGCTAACCATCAGGTAAAGTGGAACCGACACAGTCTGACTGGACCACTCAAAGCATTTCCACTACAAACCAAACATTCACATTTTCAAACAGCACTTTGTCTCACTCACATCCACACCTATGGCCAATTTAGAAGCAAAAATTAACCCAACGTGAACATCTATGGAGCTGCTGAAAGAAAAACCCAGCACATAGTGAGTGCTCCCAGTCAACAGTGCAAACCACCACACCGCAATGTCATGCCACCCAAAGTGGAGTGGCAGTTTAATTCATTAGAAATGTGTTAAGTGATTTGCACCACTTAAGCACAATATTGACTGAAGCGCGCCTTCCATCATTATCCTAATTATCTGCTTAGTTTATAATATATCAGATTCTACTGTCCTTACGCCGGGCACATTGCAAAATATAGCTAATGTGTTTGTGTTTAATCAAATTACACGTGGAGTGTGGCAATTTCACTGAATTATCACAAGCTGAGTGTGATAATTTGATTAGTCCTAGTATGTTAACAGTGAAGCATAATTATGTTTTTCATATTTAAATGAGACAAAGGCATTTACTGGTGTTGGCTTCTGTTTCACGTTCTATACCTAGCTGGTGCTGGTATTCACATTTCTGTGACAGAGCGGCTGTTTCGCTTGTTTTCAGTGTTTAAACTAAGCTAATCACCCTCTTGGCCTGTAGCTTCATGTTTAACACCTACGCAAAGAGTAGTATCGATCTTCTCATCCACGCCTCATCAATAAAGCCAATAAGCACATTTCCCAAAATGTCAAAGCATACCTTTAAAGTTTGCCTCCATCCTTTCATCATTACATGTGGCAGTTTCTGGCAGCACAGCACTTTTCAGAAAGTAATCGTCATGTACGTGTCCCTGTGGTTTTACTGGTTATACCTCAGGTAGATGGAGGAGTGAGGAGCAGGTATGAGTAATGACTATAATAGTGGCATGCGAAGGTCAGTCAACCCCTGTTGTTGTTGTGTTTAAAGTTTTATCTGGGTTTTTTTTTTCACTTTAAGATTTCAGTGCAGGTGGACCTGATGCATGCCTTCAACAAAAGTTAAATGAGGACTTGCATGCACAAGAGCTGCAAGTTTCCAGTAATTAAACTTTAACGAAAGGCCTTGATTACCAGAAAATGTGCTGTTAAGAATTTATTATGGAATGTTTTAATATTTCTTTGTTCACCCAGGTAAGTAATAGTGTTCTCTATATAGATTCATTATGTTTTCCTGCAGTCATAAAACATTACAGAAAAGTTTAAACATCACACAAATACACAGACATATAACACAACAAGTGGGCATTCACTACATGTATTTCTTTTTTAAATACCAGTAGGCAAAGTAGCCCATCCCGCCCAGTGAACCCATGAGAAAAGAGGCCCCGAAGAAGGACGGCGGCTTCTTTTTTACCATCCGGAAGGCGTTGGGTAGGACTGCCGACAGGAGGGTCGTGTGGATGTCACCCAAGACCTTTCGAAAAGCGTAGCGTTTTTGCACACGCACAAAAAAGGACTGCAGGTTGGGCCGGCTGCCGTCCTCCCAGTATTTCTTAGAAAGTCCCAAGAACTTGAGCCTGTGCAACAAGGCTCCGAGGCAGATGTCAGCTAGTGTAAATTCAGGTCCACAAAGCCACAACTCACACTTTTGGCCTGCGAAGCAAAGAATGCGATAACATCACTATAGAAAACGTCTGGGTTGTGCTTTGATATTCATCATTTGGACATACCTTGATACTCTAGTTTTCTTTTCTCCAGTTCAGCTTCCACTTGATCTAAAACCATGGCTAACTCCCCCAGAATTTTCTTCAGGTAGTTCACATTATCATGGTCCAAGATTTTTGCCTGTCAATTAAACAAGTAAAAAAGTAGCACGCATTAAACTGATGTTTTAATGTTAAATTCAAGTGATATATTGTTATAAGTTGACATAAATCGAGCCTTTCCCAGCCCCCTTTTAGGCAAGCGTAGCTTCTTATTTAGCAGGACTCAATTTAAACTGTTTTAACTGCAGATGGTGTAATTGTTAAAGCAGCAGTAATTA